TTTTTTTTTTTTTTTTTTTTTTTTTTTTTTTTTTTTTTTTTTTTTTTTTTTTTGATAATGTTTACAGTATACCATGTAAAAGAGATTCGGCCTGTTGACTGTACTGACAAATTTAACATATTTGGGGATGCGAAGCATCTCAACCAGATCATTTCGGACCCTTTGAGTGGCAGTTGCCTAAAAGAATATAACAGGATATTTAATTCATAATGTAGTCCGTTAAAAAGATTGAATAGAAAAGATAGACTTTTTCCACAAAAGTAGAATAATAACATACAGTCAAAGCAATCATAGGAGCATTTGGAAACTGAGTCTTCAGAATACCAAGATTCTTGTAGTCAGGTCGAAAGTCATGGCCCCACTGACTACAGCAATGAGCCTCCTACAGAGAAAGACAAATAGATTAAAAAAAATCCTTTCTTGCATGTGCAAACTCATTATTCACTAAAAGGTGAGTACCAATAAACCAAAAAAGATATATTAATGTATAAGATTTCATTTTTAAGAACTAATAAAAATATTAACTCTAACCTAAAAGCTTTAGTTTTGGGAATTTTACGAAGGTACTGAAACAAGAAATTCAATAGTTATGATCGTGATTAACGATAATGGCATAAAGTATATTGCTGAAAGAATAACTTTTAATGTATATGAATGGTGAAATCTTGGAGATTGGGAAATAGGAACCTGCAGTTCGTAATCTTGTAAATCATGTTGTAGCAAAGACCAGAATAATGTTTTTCTTTATCAATCAGAAACTAATTCCAGCCTGAGTCTTTAACTTCTCGAAACATATTAATGCTCTTTATGAGAAAATATTCCTTGTGCATATACTTCTATCTGTTATTTACTAAGGTCGGCTGCACCAACTGTGGAATGGTTTCACCATGCAAGTATTCTTTTCACCCTAAAAGTACAGATGTAGAGAACTCTTTTTTTCCATTTTGAGAAAGTGTCCTGGTACTTTTAACACTATCATCTGCTTTGGTAATGATAATAACATCTATCAATGCTAAAAAACGAAGAAGCCACCAGTTTTCACAATGGAGCCATTTTCCGAAGAGAAAATTTCTGAGAAATTGTCTGGTCTTGCTATATTTGATCATTTCTTTTGTTCTATAACTGTCATAAATTGAATCCTTTGCAGCATTTTGTAATTTCAATCTCTCTTCATAGATTTTCTTATCTTATTCCCTCCCACATTCTTTATTCGAGTTTTTATATTTACATTCCTTCATTCCTATTTAAAAATAACGATAGGCTAGAAGAAGCTACCAACGTTCAAAACCAAATACATTTTTGTTATTCCTTTGTTTGACATTTTAAAGTTCGATAACAACAGGAATAATTCGCTGAAGGGTAAGGCGGTAATGTGATGGTAACCATAGTAAGAAACATAGATAACACGTGTTGATAGATATACTCACGTCAATTGCAATAAGAGAAAGACGACCAGCATGATAGCACTTTTCAAGTTTAGACATAAATCTCTTGCTCTTTGATATCTTTTCTGGTGTGACATATAATATTTTCATATTCCCTTCACCCTTTTCAAGATTCTTGTATATGGACTTCTCATCTTCTTTACTAGTAGCTGAAGTAAGCATAGATGCTGAAATTCCTAAAGCAGCCAAACCCATAACCTGAAAAAAGGTGTTCTTGATCAAAAGATATGGTTTACCTAGAAAAATTATTGGGAGAAGTGAAATATGGGTGTTCTTAATGAAACCAATACCTGCGCTCCTCTTTTTCTCCAAAATCAATGTTGAACCAATGCATTGGTTACAGAAAAACTAAAAACAACCAAAAGTATTGATTTCTTCTAAATCAAACAAAACCCGCAGACCGAGATATTTTCTATTCCAACATATATAAATTTGAAAAAAAGTATAAACTTGTTATCCAAACTGATCAAACCTACTCAGTATGTCACTCTACTTAACAGAACTTACACTAAAACACGAAAAATGTAACTATGAGGTACCTGATCCTGAATCAAAGAAAGTAAAGGACTGACAACCAGAGCAAGTCCATCATATAGAAGAGCTGGTAACTGGTAACAAAGACTCTTCCCACCTCCAGCAGCCATAATCACCAAAACATCTCGCCCACTCATGACAGCATTGACAATCTACTATTATGCAATAATTAGTAAATCCACTCACAAACGGAAAACAATAGCATCACAAAGACAACTTCAACAGTTCAAACATATTGTCCTTAGTTCATTCTCTGGTAAATATTTATAAACTTGAATAATGGTGGAAAAGTCGTGTTCTTCTTTATAAGAACAATCAAATGAATAAAATAGATAGGTTTGAATTGTTTTCCGAGTAGAAGAGATCAGTGGTAGTTAGAGCTTTGATTCATATGTTGAATTAGGCTACAGGTGATTTCGCATTTTTCCCTTACTCCTACTAAGGGAAAGTAAGCAACTCTATTTATATTCCAGTGAAAACGTAGAACATGCTTCACCAAAGCCTGCATTTAACAACAAGATGGCCTGCTCTCTGTTCACTTTAATCTTTGACCATTTCTAGTTGATAAACAACAGAATCAAAGATATAACCTATATGAGAAAAAAAAAAACCAAAAAGAAAATACTTACCTCTCGCTGGTTTGCACGATATGTGGATATGCCAAAGATGTTCAACTTAACATCATTCGCTTCGGAATCCCATTTAAATGGACCAGACCAGTTTTCTGAATTCGTAGAAGTGCCTGTGTGGCTGACGGAATCTTCTGTTTCTTTACAGAGTTCTAACAAGGACTGCAGCTCGGATTTTCTTTGGTACAAATTGTCTTGGCGTTCCAGAAGAATATTTATTTCAGCTGCAGAAAGATAGATAAGGCATAAGTCGAAATGCGAGAACAACCCAAAAGAAATGAATTACATAATCCATTATACAAACATAAAACACGATCATCTTCGGCAATGTGGGAGGTTCTAACTGTTAGGAATCACATATCTCCACAATGGTATGATATTGTCCATTTTGAGCATAAGCTCTCATGGCTTTGCTTTGGGTTTCCCCAAAAAGCATCATACCAATGGAGATGTATTCCTTACTTATAAATCCTTGATCATCCTCTAAATTAGTCAATGTGGGACTCCCTCCCAACAATCCTCCCCCAAACAAAGTACACCATAGAGCCTCCCCTGAGGTTTATGCAGCACCTGAACAGTCTCCCCTTAATCGAGGCTCGACTCCTTTCTCTGGAGCCCTCGAACAAAGTATACCCTTTGTTCGACACATGAGTCAATTTTGACTACACCTTCGAGGCTAGCAATTTCTTTGTTCGACACTATAGGATTCTATTGACATGGCTAAATTAAGGGCATGGCTCTGATACCATGTTAGGAATCACGGATCTCCACAATGGTATGATATTGTCCACTTTGAGTATAAGCTCTCATGGTTTTGCTTTGGGCATCCCCAAAAGGCCCATACCAATGGAGATGTATTCCTTACTTACAAACCCATGATCATCCTCTAAATTAGCCAATGGGGACTCCCTCCCAACAATCTTCAACACTAAGCTACTACGTGACTATTCAATGCTTCCTCAACCAACCCAATTTTTCAGTTCCATTGAGGAATTCCACCAGTACATATAAAGATTTTATCGAACTTTTAACTCATGCAAGAAGTTAACACGAATTGAAACACAGAAACAGCAATGACACCAATGGAAATTCAGGCATACATTATAAAGAATAAAGGAACGCAAAAATAGAGAAGATAATGACTACTCAAGCACCTTGGACTTCGTTTATCTGCACTTCTACGTTCAGAAGCTCCTCTAATACCTCTTCCGTGTTCATCTCTCGATCGCAAATTATAGACCAGGTTTTGAACAAAGGCAATCAGAACAGAAACTCTAGAGTCAGAATCATGTGAGGGGCTCGGGGGAGCGGATAATGGAAATGAAGGTCGAGACAGCAACAATCATGGACTCCCAAGACACCTGAAGATGAACCGTCGTTTACGAAACTGGAAAGGCTTTGAGGTTCTGAACTGAGAAGAATTTGCATGAGTTTCCGCCGATCTCAGCGCCGGTGTTCGGCTGCCCTACCGTCGTCTCATTCGCCTCTCCTAATCGAGCTAGTAGTATTCTTGGCGCGTGCACCCCATTTCCCTCCATTTTATATTTTTGTTTTAAATAGGGCTAAATTATAAATTTTAAAAAAAAAAAAACTAAATTAATAAAAATATCCTTACATTTTTTAACTTTAAAAAAAAAAAGAATAATGTCTTTAATTTATTTTTTTGTACTTTAGATTAAATTAAATGTTTAATTATTTAGTAATAATATATTAATGAATAAGGATATATAAATTATTGATTTTCTATTTTTTTAATTATATTAATATTATTATTATTATTATTTTATCATAAAATTTTGAAGGGAAAATATTATAAGAGAATTTTAAGGCTTTTGAAATTAGAGAGGTTAGTTAATATTTTGGATTTTACAACCGAAATCTCTATTTTATTAATTATTTTAAAAAAAATATCTATCTTCCTCAAATATTACATAAATAACTAAAATCTAATAAAATTCAAATATTTAATATTCTAAAATCGGTTGGATCATCTGAAGTGTTAGTTGTAGTGCACGACTTCCACTATGAAAGAATTCAGGTGGTCATTCTTCTCTTGCTATGTTGCTGCTCCTCGAGATCTTTTTGTAATTTTCTTTTAAGTCTTTCATTCTTTTTGAATCGGCATAAAACATAATCTAAATCTACAGCTTGTTGTATCGAATCTTGATGCAAGCTATATTCATGCATAATCCATTCGCCATGACGCTCGGGCAATTGGACATTTTCGTACCTAAAATGTTCAAAGGACACAAACATAAGGTTAAAGAATCTATCAAAAATTGAAATCAAAATGACAAAACGAACCTAAAGCGTTTGCAATAGCCGATTATTGTATTATCGGTTTTGGTAGCAAAAATTGGACTGGCTGAGTTCTCGCCACTCCATGTACCGTTGGCCAAGCCAACCTTGCGGTTGATATGCGCCGACAAACGTCCAGAGTTATTGGTGGACCTCTTGAGTTTGGTGAAGAAATAGAGATGTTCGCCGTCGATGCCTCCGAACCGTAGCCAGATTTCCCATGGCTCCATTTCTCCATAAAGATCACAGTCCAAGACTGCACGTTTGAAATATGGTTGGCCATGAATTTTCCAGTGTAGATATTGAAGAAGTTGCGGATCAGTAGGCTTGAATCTCACTCCCACGGGCAAGAGAGGGCAATCATGAGAATCCATTAGTATTTGAGAAAGACTCTGGGAATGTATTTCTCGTAAATGTATTTCTTGATATTCTTGGAACGAGCTTTTATAGGTTTGTATGTAGTTATTTTATAGGAATAAAAATCTGATTAAAATATTTTAAAACGTAAAAAAGATAATTGTAAAATATTAAAAAGAATATTTTATGGTTATTTGATGGTAATAAAAATTCCATTAAAATATTTTAAAACCTAAAAAAAGATAATTGTAATATATATAAAAGATAATATTTGATTGTAATAAAAATCTGATTTAAATATTTTAAAACCCAAAAAGATAATTTAATAGTAAAATATTAAAAAGAATATTTTATAATTAATTGATTGTAATAGAAATCTGATTAAAATATTTAAAAAAGTAAAAAGATAATAGTAAAATATAAAAAAACAATATATATTTTATAGTTATTTAATAATAATAGAAATCCAATTAAAATATTTTAAAATGTGAACAAAATAATTGCAAAAATAGCAAATAATAATAATAATAAATAAATAAATAAATAAAATTGGTTAATATTTTGTCTCGATACATTACGAGATATTTTTCCATACTTTTCTTATTCAGTATGATCAATTATGAAGCCTCGGCAGTCTTGCATAAAGTGCGTCTCAAGTGCTGAGACCCGTGAAAAGGCTCTAGGGTAATATTCACAAGTCTAAAGGAGCCTTTTTTACTCTAAACGGTGATCGTACTTCATACATATCTACCTACTGAGCTCTAATCAGTAGATTCTCCCTAATGGTGTCAAGCAAACATCTACTTATTTCTAAGATCAGTAAACTACCTTCACTATGTTTTTCCAAATTGGAATAGTAAACTATCTACTCATGTACCCTTATCGGGTTAAAACACTAAAACTACCTGTAGCAAAGTAACCTATTACTTTGTCTTTTCAAACTATAACAATAAAACTACATGTCACTACGCCACTCAAGCTATAACAGTAAAACTACCCGTCACTACCCCACTAGGCACCACCGATAGTACTTCAGTAGTATACTCTCTATGACTCTTGAAATCCTCTATGGGTGACAACTAAGACATGTCTAACAATAGACCCTAAACTCGGTTGGTTAGTGCACGAATAGAGGTTGCGCCCTATCCGTCACTACAAGATACCTAGTCAACTCAAGAAGGCTATGGAACTCATGGCTAGGTATTAGGACCAAAATACGTGAAACAGTAACTCAAGATAATGCACCTAACATGTCTGGACTTCAAACACCATGTCTAGCTCGATATTTGATCAAGACACTATGTCTAGCTTGAGGTTTGATCCGAACACCATGGATGACTTTAGCTTTGATCGAGGCACCTTGTCTCAAATGATCATAAAATAATAATTATAAAATATAAAAAAAATATATATTTGGTAGTTATTTGAAAGTACTTATTAATATGTGTAAATTTATTAGTTATATAATATTGTAATGTGACCATCTTGCACGATATGCGGTCTTCACTATTAGAAGAAAGGAGTAAGTAACATGACTATGTCGCAGAAGATGCAGTGGAATCTTGAGACTATCAGGTGCCGAATTCGGATTTCGAATCCTGCTCCATTTCTTGGGCATGGGGCGTCACGTGGAGATAGTCTTCACTCTTAGAAGTAAGGAGTAAGTAACGTGACTATGTCGTAGGAGATGCAATGGAATGTCGAGGTTATTTGGTGTCGACTTCGGATTTCGAATCCTGCTCCGATTCCTGGGCATGAGACGTTACGTGAGGATAGTCTTCACTCTTAGAAGCAAGTAGTAAGTAAGGTGACCATGTCGGGAGATGCAGTGGAATATCGAGGCTATAAGGTGCTGAATTCGGATTTTGAGTCCTGCTCTGATTCTGGGCATGAGGCGTTATGTGAGGATAGTCTTCACTCTTAGAAGCGAGAAGTAAGTAACATAACCATGTTGCAGGAGATGTAGTCGAATGTTATGGTCATCAGGTGTCGAATCCGAATTTTGACTCCCGATCTAGAACCCATGTAAAATACCAAGCAGCAAAATAAATTCCGATCAGCGAGAGAATTGCTAATCTATACCTTCCCCAATAATCGCACCATGTGTGAGTGTACTTTTGTCAATCGACCATTTTCACTCTCACTCGAGAATCCCGACAACCCTTGCCTTCCATTACACTTCTAAACCTCTCTGTAAATAAAGGGAGAGAAAACATGTATCGTTACGTCCAAAATACAATACTCTTAATTATCGAAGCTCGGGGCTTAATATCGTACTAATGCACAACTTTTCTCTTGTTTTTGTAACGCGACGTTCGATTTTTATTACAAATTTATCGTTGAAGCATGCTTAAATATTGAAAGGCCTTGAAAATTAAAATAAAAAAGAATTATAGTTTTCCACTTGATTTCGTTTGTATTTGTCCCCTCCATAGGGAACAAATAACAATAATTTTAAGCGTGACATGTTTGTACTTATTAAACACAATTATTGTTTATCAATAAACAAATAATTTTTATGCTAATAAAAAAAAAATCAATAAATAAATAATAGACGTTTGTATTCTTAAAGAATAGTTTGTTCCTCTCTCCAAGCTCAGTGTCCTTGCTGATACTAGTTCCTCTCTCTAATCGATTTTGGTTCTCACAATCCATCTCTTTTCAGGGCCTAACGTCCTCGTTGGCACTAGTTCCTTTCTCCAATCGATGTGAGATCTCACAATCCCACTCTCCTTCGGGACTCAACATTCTCGCGGGGAAACCACCCGGTGTCCACCCCCTTTGGGACACAGCATCCTCACTGGCACACTGCTACCATATATTGTCCTCTTTGGACTTTCCCTTTCGGGCTTCCCCTTAAGATTTTTAAAATGCCTCTACTAGAGAGATTTCCACATCCTTATAAATAATATTTCGTTCCTCACCCCAACGAATGTGGGATCTCACGATCCACCCGCTTCGGAGCCAACATCCTCATTGCACTCATTCCACTCTCAATCGATGTAGGATCTCACATTGGTTCTTGTAAGGAACCGAACAATAAAATGGAGGGTCACCCGCAGAATGACCTGGATCACTACTTTAGTTCACTATGATGGCGAATTACTCGAGCACACAATGTGTAATTACCATAAAATTATGTTTTACCATAGCAAATATATCATTCATAAAGGAATTGAATACAAAATAAATAAATTAATTAATTAATTAATTAATTGTTGATTAACGTAGATTTATTTAAGTTCTTGCTGAGAGTAAATTAAGGAATAATTTAAAACTTAAAAAGCTGATTAACAGTCGGTAATCGGTTGTTATGGTCCAATTAGCCATAAATTCTAGATTCCTCTATAAATACAAGCAAACTAATTGCCATTGCTCCACAAACTCTCAAATCCGAGTTCATCTTGCGTCTTCATTTCAATTTCTCTCTCTCTCGCGCGCGCGCGCGCGCACTAATCCACGAGCACGATCAAGTCCTAACCGCCTCTGTGCGGACTTGAAGTTGAATGATCAAGTAAAGATTATTTCAAATCTTCAATCGCTTTTGATGAGGAGAGACGGAGATGAAGCGCCGATTTCGACTTCGCAGATCGATCGGAAACCAGAGCAGACTGCATCCGCGGCGGAGCTTGGCGAGAAGGAATTTCAACCTAAGTCGACCGGCGCTGGCTCTCCGCTTCACTGCGACAGCACCAAGGAGGAGCTCCGCCGTGCAGAAACTGAACCGCCGATAGTCGGCGATTCCAACCACCAGGTAAACAAACGCTACTGAGAATCGCAACTTAGAAGTGAAAAGAAAGAGGAAAATCTGATTTATTGCTTCTGCTATGCGATTAATCCTTCTTCTGGTTTGCGTGTGCTTGTTTGTTGATTATGCTTCTTCTTAGCGTTCTTTGAATTTCTTAAGCCATCGCTAGTAACAGAGATCTCCCTGGGCGTTGGAATTGGGATTCGGAATCGTAAACCATTCCCTTTCGGCGCGAACCTTAAGGAGTTTTAATTATTTTTTTTAATTTTTTTAATAGCTTATAAATATTAACCGCCGTTACAAATTTTAAATATATATATACACCTTTTTAAAATAAAACTAAACGAGATATTTTAATAGCCAAGAAATAAAATAAAACAAACTTAAAAATTTAAAGATTAAAATAGTTATTAAATTTATTTTAAAAATTTAAGGATCAAAGTAGAATAAAATTAAAAATAAAAATTTAAATATAAGTTTTAAAAAAAATAAAAATAAAAATTTAGGTCTAAAAGAGAAATATGTTAAATTTAGTATATTAAATTGACATTAAAGGTCAATCTTCTTTTTTAAAAAAAAATCGCTTCAAGTAATTTATGAATAATATGTTCTTATCTGGACTAAATTTTTATTAAATAACAAATTAATTAACGCTAATGTTCATCAAGAATATAATATAATTTTGAATATTATGAAATATATATATATATATATATATATATATATATTTATCCCACCAAAGAATATAATATAATATAATATAATATAATGTAATAAGTATATATATATATGTGTGGATGTGACGTGTATTTAATTAAATCCAATCCTCAAAGGTAGGCGTGAAAATAGTAAAGCTTAAGAAGTGCTTTCGTGGAGAAAAATTCTGATTCCATCATAAAAAACATTCCTTTTTAAAATTATAATATATATATATTAAAAAAATTAATGATTAAATATAAATATCTATAAGGTAATCATAGTTTAACGGTCCATCAAAAGTTTTGAAATTCGAATTTTTTATTATTTTAAAAATAAATATAAATGTTTTTTAGGCAAATTTAAAATAAGTTTAGAGATTTAAAAAGTCCGTATAATTTTTATAAATTATTTTAAAAAAATTAAACATCACAAACAAAAATGGCTAAAGATTTCTTAATCTTTAATTATTTTTTAAAAAATGAGAAAATTCTTTGTTTATTTTATTTATTTCAGTCCTTAAATTTTTTTAAAATAATGGTTTTAATTATTATATTTATTTTAATTTGAAAAAAATTAATAAAGTAGTTTTGAGTAGAATTAAATATTAGATAAAATGATTTGGGCGAATTTTAGAATATTAGTAATCACAATTTTGTATTACTTTGGCAATAGATAATATTACGTGGACAGTGGGGCCCACAAATTAGGTCAAAACAAGGAAAGGAGATTCATTGACGTGGCACAGTAAGATTCAAAAGGGGAACACCTTGCGAAATGGAAATATTCGTCATTTCCTAAATGCCACGTACGATTTTTGACCTTTTGAATTAAAATAATCTTATTTTTTACAAAAAAAAAAAAGCTATATATATATATATATATTAAATTGTAGAATTTCGGAAATTTTATTTTCTTTTCTTTTGTTCTTCGTTGTTCTTTTGTTCTTCGTTGTTCTTTTGTTCTTTTGTTCTTCGTTGTTCTTTTGTTTTGTATGTTAAAGTTCTGAAACTCCGTGGTGCTTTATGGGCTCATGGCGGTAGTTTTCTCCGTTTGTTCCACGGCGGAGGCGATATTGCAGTAATGCATCCCTCACCTCCGGCGATTCATTTTCCTTCATGGTTTGTTCTCTCTTCTGCTTCATTCTTCTTTTGTTCACTTGTTCTTTCGGACGTCGCTTTTACCTCAAGATCTTGATCTTTTTTTTTTTCTTCTTTCTTTTTAAATTCAAGATTTCGTTTCTTTGTTTGTCTTAAGATCACGATTTCTGGTTTTCTGGAATTTTCGTTCTGTTTTTTTGGTTTGGTATTTCATTTGGAATTCTCTGTTGTGTCTTCTTCGTCTTTTTTGGGGCTCTTGCTATTTTAATTTTAATTTTTTTTTTTTTTTTTTTGTATAGTGAATACGGCATCTGGATGTTGTACTGCAGTATCGGATTAGTATGAGTTATGAGTTTGATGCGTATTTGGAGTGTTAATTACAGGGAATTACTTGCTATGGTTATTATCAGATGTAGGTTGGGGACTTTCTTGGTATAAGTTACTGAGAATATTGTGTTCTTGTTTCTTCGGGATTCGAGTCTGGATGTGAGATGTGGATTTTAGCTTTCTTGGTTTCAGTGTCTGAGAATACTGTGTTCTTCTTTCTTCTGTATTCGAGTTTGAATGTGAGATATGGATTTAAGTGATTGAGAGCGAGGATATTATACCTTCCCCTTCTTCCAACTCCGATTCTCTATTGGTCCTAGAGAAATTTTTGATCAACAATAGAACAAGATCTATTTTGTAGCCAACAAGAGAACAAGAGAATTAGGGTGTTAGAAACAATAACTCAAAACCAGCTTGCTTAGCTTGCTTAGAGAATTAAGGGTTCCTGTCTGCTTTCTTTTTTTCTTTTTTTTTTTCATTGTTTCGAATGCAAGGGGTGTCAGCAATGACCCCACACGTAGGCGTCTCGACAATCTTGCTTAGACCGGGCTTTAGTCTTTGGTTGTCATCCTGAAACCTATGGTTAGAAGGGCAAACTATATATCAAAATAGAAGCGGAGATTGCGTATGGATGAATGTCAAACATCTCTCTCTGCACTGAGAATATTGTTTTCTCGTTTCTTCTGTATTCGAGTTTGAATGTGAGATGTGGATTTTAGCTTTCTTGGTTTAAGTGACTGAGAATATTATGTTCTTGTTTGTTCTGTACTCGAGTTTGAATGTGATATGAGGATTTTAGCTTTCCTAGTCATGATGTCACTTTGTGGGTTGTGCAGAAATTGAGGTCTTCGCCAGCCAGACAAACTTCTGTTGCAATGGGAGAGATAAATCGTGCAGAGTATGTTTCGGTTGGCGAACTGCCTTCGCCTTCAGTGAATAATGCAAAGAAAGTTTCTGTGTTGCCTCTTGTGTTTCTCATCTTCTATGAGGTTTCGGGGGGTCCATTTGGAGTTGAGGATAGTGTTGGGGCAGCTGGTCCTCTGTTGGCTCTTCTTGGGTTTTTGGTCTTTCCACTTATATGGAGTATTCCTGAAGCATTGATAACTGCTGAGATGGGGACTATGTTTCCTGAAAACGGTGGTTATGTGGTTTGGGTTTCTTCTGCATTGGGTCCATTTTGGGGATTTCAGCAGGGTTGGATGAAATGGCTTAGTGGAGTTATTGATAATGCTTTATATCCTGTCTTGTTTCTCGATTACTTGAAGTCAGAGATCCCAGCTCTCGGTGAAGGTCTTCCACGAGTCGCTGCGGTCTTGGCTTTGACAGTGGTCCTCACTTACATGAATTATAGAGGATTAACAATTGTTGGTTGGGTTGCTGTAATCCTTGGTGCTTTCTCAATCCTCCCTTTTGTAGTTATGGGACTCGTGTCTATTCCGAAACTACAGCCTTCTAGATGGTTTGTGGTGAACCTAAGGGATGTCGACTGGAATCTGTATTTGAACACTCTTTTCTGGAATTTGAATTACTGGGATTCTATTAGCACATTGGCTGGAGAAGTGGAAAACCCAAACAAAACACTCCCTAAAGCACTTTTTTATGCCTTGATTTTGGTTGTTCTCAGTTACTTCTTGCCTCTTTTGAGTGGGACGGGAGCCATTGCGCTTAATCGTGAACTGTGGACCGATGGCTACTTCTCTGATGTTGCCAAAATTATAGGGGGAGCTTGGTTGAGTTGGTGGATCCAAGGGGCTGCTGCTATGTCGAATATGGGAATGTTTGTAGCAGAGATGAGCAGTGATTCTTTCCAACTTCTCGGAATGGCAGAACGCGGTATGCTACCTGAGTTCTTCAGCCAACGGTCTCGTCACGGGACACCGTTGACTGGGATACTATTTTCAGCCTCAGGCGTTGTTTTGCTTTCATGGTTGAGCTTCCAGGAAATCATAGCAGCGGAGAACTTCTTGTACTGCTTTGGAATGATTCTGGAATTCTTAGCTTTTGTCAAGCTAAGGATTAAACATCCAGCTGCATCTCGGCCTTACAAGATACCTGTCGGAACGATTGGATCGATCTTGATGTGTATCCCTCCTACAATACTAATATGCATAGTGTTGGCCCTTTCCACAGTCAAAGTGATGATTGTGAGTCTAGCTGCTGTTGCAATCGGCTTATTGTTGCAACCCGGTCTCAAGTATGTCGAAAAGAAGAGATGGCTCAAATTCTCTGTTAGCGGTGATCTCCCTGATCTCCATTTCGCCAACCGAGACCGAACAGAAACCATGGTATATTAATGGGAATTCAATGGTCATTCAGGTCCAAAGAGAGGAAGAATCTTTCTGAGACGATAACGACGCGTTGGAGACTTGTAACAATCGATGCAATGGCAGGCCAAAGATCTTGTAAGTTCATTCTCTGCTTTGATACGTGCTTTAAGTCGTAGTAGCGTAGTCACATTTATCATCCTAGTTTTAGAATGGTGATAAATAGAAAAACAAAAAAGAAGCAAAATCTCAGTTCCTTAAATTAAGCATCAGTTAGTAACACTGCATCTTGAGATGTCTTATGGGTTAATGTTCTAATTCCACTAATAAAATGCCGTCTGCACGCCAATGTCTCTCTGCTATGCTATCTGTTTGAAATAAACTTGCAGGCGATTGCATATATCATGTATTATTTAGGATATTGCGATCCAAATTATCCTTTCTGATTATTTTGTATGATCACTGAGAAAGATTGAATAGTGAAATCATGAATTACGTGTTTGAATTTGGTGAATTTGGAAACAATGAATTACGTGTTTGAATAAGTGATTGAAATTCTTGGGAGGCAAAATGGAAGGCAAATATGGCATTTTTATGTGAGATAGTAGTCTCTTTCATACTGAATTATTGATATCAAACATTCAAAAAGTTATTTCATACTGAATTATTGATATCGAATATTCAAAAAGTTCTTTCAGATCGAATTATTGATATCCAATGTTCAAAAAGTTCTTTCATATTGAATTATTGATATCCAATACTCAAAAAGTTGTCCTTCACAGGCAAAATAGAAAGAGGAACAGCACCCTTACAGCCAAAAAGTTGTCCTCGTGCTAATTTATAGAACAAAAAGCTTCAAAAATCCTTGGATACGAGTTGTGTATGAAAGGGACAAGAACATTGACACGTTGTGGTTTGAAACTGAGTTCAAGTAATGAAATTACACACATACACACAGCCGTTAGTAAATATTGTCCATGCTGTCCATAAATGATTAAATACTGCTTTGATCACTAACAATGCAGTATCTTACATGTATTTACATGTACGGTTCTTTTGAATTTGTACAACATTAGTAGATAAGATATTATTCGCTTATGACCCGTTACGAATTTATCCTGTATTGTTCCTTTGAATTGGAAGATTAAAATCTCCATAATCCCACCTTTTCAGAGAGCAATAAAGAAAACTTTCACCCATTACAAATCCAAATTAACGAGTTTGAGCATTTTAATTTCATAAAAAAGAAGAAAAAGTTGTCAAAACATGTTTTTACTCAAACCAGTCGAAGGGCCTACTTGAAAACAGAAATGGAAATAGTTCACTACTCCATAATTGAAAACAACGAAATTTCTTTTGGTTGGTTTGACACGACACTGCGTCAAATGGGTTATTTTTTAGATTAACATGTAGAGAAAAAAAATCCATAAAATTGGAACTCTAAACAAGTAGTAACTTTATAGATTCTCAAGTCAAATGCAGACAGCAAAGTAGTTTTTGACCTAAGGATTATGAAGGATCAATACGGTGTCGTTTAATGAGAGGACGAGCGAGCGGAGAAGAGAGCATTAAACTTGAAGTTTAGCAGTAAGTATAGGAGTTTTCCACATGAACTAGAAATTGTAACCTTTTCTTTACAATAAATGTGCAGCAAAAGCCACCACGAGTCAAGAAAACTACCAAAATATAGCAATGATATCTACCTGTACAAAGGTCATAGCCCTATTTCAACTATCTTCAACAATTGATATATATCCATATGTTGCTATCTGAGAAGTTTTGTTACCATAATGACAATGTCAAGCTGAGATCAACAGAGCTCTAACCTCGTTGTCATGAGTCGGTATTCGCTACGTATTTACAAAGCACAATATTGATGAAAGAAATGGCAGCGCAGGAGGGCGAAGAGCCAACCTGGGAACAAAATTGCCTTGTGCTCAGCTGTTATAAAGCATAAACCAGACAAGTTTAAGTTCGTATACCGTCGAGAATGTCTACTATACCATTTTGTTAAGAGATTCGGAAACTTACCGTGAAGGAAGTCTATGAATCATACATCTGATTTTCACATTCGCACCTCTTCAGGTATTCGACCGAATTAACCAATAAGGCTTGTCTGGCACTACCTTCTACTAAAAACATAATATGGTCTCACTTTGCATTAACTGAACTTCGTTCTTTCATGGCTTCCTTCTCTATTTTTCTCTTTTCAGCATCAGCCTGTCTTTCGTTTTCTTCTCGAGACTTCTTGAACATCTTAACGAAGACTATCAAAATTTGAGTCACTGAAAAGAAAAGGCCAACAAATTCGTTAGCATGTGCTCGACTCAAATTTCCATAATGTAGGAAATATTAGAGTTGCTTTCCCACGTTCAAGAGGCCACAATTCAAGTCGCTACTAATTAATTATTGCGCGTGATGGAGAACAGGAACTACTTGTCCACAAAAAATACACACGCACTCGATACAATTTGGTATTAGAGCAATCGCCTAGACCAAACGTTTGTGGCTGCTGATGGAAGACTGGAAAACTCTCATTGATGTTGACTGCTAGAGAGAGCTTCATGAGCTGTGCTTATTGTCGTGCTCATTGTCCAACAGGCCACACTTACTAACCAAAGGGATACTTTTTAGTGTACCTTTTTTTCTCAAGAAAAGGGGAATTTTCAAGAATGCTCCAAAAGTTATCCAAGAATGGAGTATTACAGCGATAGAAGAACGCCCAAAGACCAGAATCTTCTCTTATGAGTATAGATCAAGCTTTGGATTGTGATTGAGATCTCGATGGAGGAAATCGATGTGGGGATGAAAGACCTCAAACGTGCTTTGAAAAATTACTTTGCCAAATAGAATATCACGTGAATAAAATTCAAGAAAAAAAAATATCCAAACCAAGAAAATGAGATTGACACAACCCCAAGCGAAGATGGAGATGCAAATTCTCATGCTAAGACGAAGGAAGTCGCTCGAGGAACTAGACCATTGACTGAAGCACATTTTCATTCAAGCACTTTCTCGTCCTATTCTTATTTTCATTTTTAGAACTTAAGGACCAGTTTTTAGGAGGGATGGAATTTATGTGGTAAGATTAGTGGTTAATCTTGGGTAATCCTCGGTTAATCCTTTACAGTATCCTTTTGGTACTTTTAATACTTAGTTTTCCCTCTCGTGTATTCAATAACTTTGATGCATAATAAAGATTGTGATTAGGTTCTTAAATAAGACCATCAGCCTTCGAATTTGGTTGGATTTTCTATTGAATAAAGTCTTGAAGCATTATTTCCCAACTATATGAAACTTCCCCATCATTTGCATGCCACTCAGCAGTTGCCATCTGGGTGCCTATGCAACTCTTTGCACAGAAATTAAGATAACAAGCTGATTTAACACTCATCTCTAGCTACTCTTTAGTATTCGGCACTTCCAATCCAGTAAAGATGTTCGCTTTTCAAATATTAGGAAATTTTTAAAAAAGCTAAAGAGAAATTTTAACCTATGTTACTGCTACTAAGACAACCTTTATCTTATGCAAATTTTCACCCACCTGTATGTAGGGCTAAATTTTTGTTGTTACTGACCTAACCCAGCACATACATACACAGTTGTGTATTAAACTATAGCTGATTACATAAACTACAGCTTACGTAAACTTAAGTAGTTCTGATATGAACCAAGACATCAATCGGCAATATAAACTTCAAGGAAAATGTGAAAAAAATGTTGTTCAAATTATCAAAAAATGTTGCAATTCATGTCACATGAAGAAGAATCAAACTTCATTCCTTCTTTGATGGTTACACATTTTGGGTAGATGATGATTTAGAGTTATGGTATTTCATTAATATATTTCAAGACTTTTTATTTACTTTAGGGTTATATTTACATGATGGCTAATTATGGTCACAAAGTATACATAGTGGCTAATTATGGTCATACGATATGAAAGTTACAACTTTTGGAATGCCTCATGAAATGCCTCATGAAAGGTTATGGGTTTTCATGTTGAGGCTATATAGATGTATCTTATCTTTGTAAAGTAGACTTGGAAAATGTAGTAAAAAGAGCATTTTTGCTTTACTTTAACCAAGGGCTAAGTTTCTTTGCAATTTTATATAGTTTATATTGCATGTTTAGAATCATTAAGACTTGACATGATCGATCTTGGTTGTGGAGTGATTTGAATCTCAATCAAGTGTTCTTGCCTTGAGATATTTGATCAATAAGGTAATCCAAATTTTACTTTTCCTTTGAGTGATTCATTATCATTAGGGCTAGGTGTTCTTACCTTTCCTTTAGCCAAGGGCTAAGTTTCTTTGCAAACATGTTTAGAATCATTCAAGCTTGACATGATCGATCTTGCTTGTTGAGTGATTCAAATCTCAATCAAGTGTTCTTGTCTTGGAGATATTTGATCAACAAAGTAACCCGAATTTTACTTTCTCTTGGAGTGATTCTTATCATTAGGACTAAGTGTTCTTACATTAGTTTAGATTGCATGTTTAGAATCATTCAAGCTTGACATTATCGATTTTGCTTGTGGAGTGATTCGAATCTCAAATAAGTGCTCTTGATTGAGATATTCGATCAACAAGATAATCCAAATCTTACTTCCCTTGTCGTTATTCCTTATCAAGTTCTCTGGTGGGAAAGTAGTTATGAGGCTAGTTTTGGTTGGATTTTGTTAACCTTGGTTAAGTGGTGTGTAATAAATGATTTTCAGTTGCAAGGTGTTAATTTTTGCTGAAAACAAGCTGAACTGAACCAATTTTACCCTGCTAATCTTACCCATTGGCCAGGTTTCTAATATCAATCTCTTGAATTTCCACGTGTAGGTCTTTTTTATCTCACACTTCAACCTGGATTTTCCATCTGGCATATTTTTCTCATTTTACCATGTGCTTAAAAGATTATGCATTGAAATATAAAATTCACAAGACCTTGCTCAAAGGGGCACCGAGCTGGATCCTCGCCGAAGTACTGGGATAGCGAATCTGCGTTTCTCCCCTGACATAATAAAATGTCAGCTTTAGAGGGGGAGCCAGAAAACTATCGGGAATGGTTTTTTTTTTTTTTTTTTTAATAGAAAAGGACTCACCACTTCAGAATATAAGGAAATAAGTGCCCTTACTTCAGCTTCAGCCGTATCAAGAAAAATCTTCAGCACCTGAAAGGAGTAATAAAAACACTTGGAACTTTTTATAACGAAAGAAAGATGATTAAACTAATAGGGACAGAAAATTAAATTGAGGACAAAACCTAGTATGCCCTAATTCCTACAACCAAACTAAGTTCATGATGAAAAGATCTACGCACTGATATAGAAGAAATTAATATTTACGCCAATGTTCAGGGTCAAATGCAGATTCCTCATGGAGCTAACGCTATCAAATGGATAAAAAAGTCATTAGTGCAGACTAAATATGATACTGGGGTTTCCGTCACTGGGAGAAGAAGCAACCAGATTCCTAGCAAAGAACCAAATGAACATTTTTCACACCTTCTGGAAACCAATAGAGATAGCACCGTCATTTTCTGAAGCAGTTAGCTCTTGCTCCATCTTTTCAAGACCTTTACTCACTGCTTGCATTTCCTCAGCCAATGCTTTCAATTGAATCTAGTTTTACAAAATTCAATTACATTAGATAAAAAATTACAAATGAATGGGAATCTTATCCACAGATTATTCATATTTCCAGAAATAACATACCTTAGAGGCAGCTTCTAAATGAACAAGGTCCTTGTCAAAATCAAGTAATTCCGCCATTTTTTCTGCAAGGAGCTTTTTTTTTTTTTTTTTTTTTGGGGGGGGGGGGGGGGGGGGGGGGGGGGGGGGGGGGGGGGNATTATATTGTAGTGCACGTACAGACAAAATATATCCAGATTCCTACCTTACACAAATAATGCATCAAAGTCATTTTGTTGTTTCTTGCCCGAGTGTCAGACAATTTAAGGAGGCTGTCCAACTTAAAACCTATTGCAGAGCCTGCAATGTGACACGAAGATAAACAAAAAAAAATCAAATGCATTAGACCAGCAAGCAAAGCCTGAAGCCTGATTCCCCTCACTTCACAAATTGACGCATGCTGTCAAGCTTGGACTAAACAGTTTACTCGATTCATTCATTGGAGAAATTTATAAGTGATCACTCTAGTTCGAAAGAAATAAAAATAAAAAATTGACGACAGATAATTAGTCGTGTTAGTCTTTCAAGCTCGTCTATCACATCTTCAAGAACGATTTTTATCAGTGGCAACAAGGGTGAGATATCTACCTCGAGCAGTGCCCTGGTTTAACGCATTTCCCAGTGTCAGAATTGTTTGCATTATCTGACGCAATTTTGCAGATTCTTTGACCTGTTGCTTTAAATTACAAAATAAATATGGACTCGGATATGATTGAGACGGTCACTTTGAAAACACTAATAAGTGAAAGAGTACCTCTCTTGTAGCATCATTTATTGTGTTCAAGTTGTATCTCAAATCACTCACCTAACCAAAGATAAGAACTAAAACTGTTTACTACAAGTAAATAGCATAAAAGTTCACGTGACATAATTTGATATTATACCTGACTAGAAAAGGTTATTTTGAAAGCAAACACCCGTAACTTTGACTCTATTCGTGGGACCTTCATTAGCTCGAGAAAAAACTGAAAGGGAATGAACTAGCATGAGCTTCAGAAACTTTATTGGGGCTTATGCATATTAGGGAGATAGACGCAATTGAAGTACCTGCTCACACTTTCCTAGCATTTGTCTGCCACCTGTATAATTCTGTAATATGTACATGTACCATTTGCAGGAAAAAGAAAACAATTAAAAGTATATATTGCTTTGATCTATTCGACCGAACTAGATATGTAAATCAGCAAACGATAACTTATTACTCAATATATGAAAGAAACAAAAATACCAAAACCGACTTTACCACATCTCTTTACTTAATACTGATTGTTAGACGAACACGACTCTCCACAATGGTATGATATTGTCCACTTTGAGCATAAGCTCTCATGGCTTTGCTTTGGGCTTCCCAAAAGGCCTCATACCAATGGAGTTAGTATTCCTCACTTATAAACCCATGATCATTCCCTAAATTAGCCGATGTGGGACTTTCATCATCCAACACTGATATCGTCCAAAAAACCTACTGCTAGTACAGAATGAAAAATATGGGGAGTCCTTGAAGGGGAAAAAAGGTAGATACGCTGCTTCGTATATGCAATACATTATTTACATTAAATAAGAAAATAATTTCATAAATATATGCCAGGCAAAACTTTCCTAATAATGGGCTTAAGGCTCCCAAGAACATAACAGGGAAAAAAAAATAACAAAAAACAAATATAGCTGCTCCTTTGCTTTAGCCGCTAGATGTAAAGCTCCTTTATTATCAAAATTCTAAACCATGTCCCACTAATGATCAGTAGAGCCATTTTAATTGATATTGCAAGTCCTATCCAAAACTTAGCACATATGAATAGACTCATAACTCGTCAGAACTGCAAAACCTACCATGGGAAAAAAGGAACCGGCTTGGGTAAGAGCAACCCTCACATATTTAATAGACTATAACTAGATAACTTATCCGAACTTTTTAATTCCTACACATGAATATCATAACAACGAAGGTTCACTGTATTCAACATTGAGAAATCCCCAAAGTTTTGGAATGGCAATGTGCAGCAATATGTACAGTGAAAGAGGAAGCCGGGAGGGAAGTACCTTCAATGTTTCCATCTCTTCCCTGGTAGGACAAAACTTGATGAGATTCTCAACCTGGTCAATATCAAGAGCAGAAGAATCCAATGCAAGAACTGAATTCTGCAAAAAGTAAACTAAATTAGTGGAGAGATGTCATAGGCTTAGAATGGAGACAATCAATATCCTTCTAACAAAAAACAAAACAAAAAAGGAAAAGAATATACTGATATTTAAAACTGACCCTACAAATTTAACCTGGAGTCTTACTTATGTTATTAAGAAAATGTGGCATTTTCATTGATAAGATGAAAGATTATATCCAAAATCTATTTAAAGTTCAACCCATCTACTGAGAAAGCAAACTATGGAACATAATGGAAAGAATATCACTTACTATCATATCCGGTAAGGGAATCTTTATTTTTGAGAGCATTATTTCACAGTTATATGCTCTCCGCAGGTCAATCTGACAAAATGACACAGAACTACATCACAAATTTGACCCAAAATAAATAAATAAAGGGAGGAAATTGACCAAATGCTCCTTGCCAACCTCACCTCCTTGAATTCCATGAATCAAAATCATGAGAAAGAAGTATGAAACAAGAAGAATCATGCTAAGGAAGAATAAGAAAGAATGGAAAATGACTAACCAGTTGCACTTTTTCCGGTTTGTTGATATTGGAACCACGTCGTCCTCCACCTTTACTACCACTTCCATCAGAAGCAGAGGCTGCTGAGAATAGACTTTCAAGTTCAGAGATGTCTATTTCTGGGGCCCTATAAGACCATTATTCGGAATGAGACTTATAGGAAATTCCATGTAATGCAACCCAAATAATGAGACAGCCAAGATGATATGAGTGATGGTAGAAAGTATGGGACAACAGCTAACAGAAAAGGCAACCAGAAAATACAAAACAGAGAACCTAGAATAGGTTCCAAAAAGAAAGTGCACAACAAGATTTATCTTTTTAGGAAATGGATAGATCAAAGATATAAACCTTTTATTTTTCTGTTCACCAGGATCAAATTAGGAGGATTTCATTAATAATATAAATTCGCTATTGAATAAAGTACAGGCTCTACAGTCTAAAAAAACATGGATCATCCAATCAGTAGAAAACTCAAAAATTCATTCATAGTGCACCTTGATTGATTTTCCTGCTTTTGTGAATCAGCCCACAGACTTCCTTGCATTGCTCGAGTAACTTTTACCCAGTGCAATGGTTTTAAAGTGGTTTTCTTTGGAGCATTTACAACTCCAGTAGCAAGACGGCCTCTTCCTTGAGTTGTTGACCCTAGAGAAGCTTTGCCTCTTCCAACAGAAGGAGGAGGTGGTGGTGGTACATTTGGCCCTCTTGATCCGGGGGGAGGGGGTGGCATTGGTGTAGCACCATGACTTGACGGAGGGTGAGCATTAGAGGACTTTGTCGGTGGAGGAGGTGGAGGAGGTCTAGTTGGTTTAGTACCATGACTCGGTAGCTCAACACTGGGAGGTCTTGGTGGTGGAGGAGGTGGAACCGGTGCACCGCGATTTGATTGTGGAGGTGGAGGTGGAGGTGGAGGAGCACCAGAAAGTTTAGGAGGCGGAGGCGGAGGTGGAGGAGCACCAGAAAGTTTTGGAGGTGGAGGCGGAGGCGGAGGCGGAGCACCAGAAATTTTTGGAGGTGGAGGTGGAGGTGGAGGTGGAGGAGCACCAGAAAGTTTTGGAGGTGGTGGTGGAGGTGGAGCACCAGAAAGTTTTGGAGGTGGAGGTGGAGGTGGAGGTGAAGGTGGAGGAGCACTAGAAGATTTTGGAAGGGGAGGGGGAGGGGGAGGTGGAGGTGGAGGAGCACTAGAAGATTTTAGAAGCGGAGGCGGAGGTGGAGGAGCACTAGAAGATTTTGGAACTAGAGGTGGAGGAGTACCAAAAGATTTTGGAACTGGAGGCGGAGGTGGAGGAGGAAGTGGAGGAGAACTGGAGGAATTTGAAATAGGTGGAGGTGGACCAACAACTTGTGGAGGGGGAGGGGGAGGTGGGGGTGGAGGAGCACCCGAAGATTTAGGAACAAGCGACAGTGAATGAGTCAAAGAGGCTTCAACAGGATTGGTACCAGTAGTATATTGAGGTGGAGGTGGAGGTGGAGGTGGTGGAGGGGGTCTCCCATGCATTGTTATGGTCGTCAAATTTGAACTGATGGAAGTTTCTACATGAGGTTCATTATGAGACAGGGAAAAAGGTGGCGGCGGCGGTGGTGGTGGAGGAGGAATTACTTCAACAGTGGGTGTCATTTTATTTGAGACAAGTTCTCCACTAGCATTAGTACATGGTAGATTAGATGGAGGCAACAGTGGCGATGACATCAAAGAAGAACTTATAGGAGGGGTTGAGGAGCCAAAAGAAGTTAATGGAGGTTCTTTATTCGAAGATATCTCATCTTGAAATTCATCAAAAAGTTGAGGAGACTCTGATGAAATATTCACTTCATTAGCACCAATCTTGTCGGACAATAATTCAGAAGAATGTACCGTAGCTGGAATTGTAAAATTGGTAGAAGTTGAATCAACCACAGGCCTTGTAATAGTATCAAATACTTCATCTAAACTATCGGCAGTGCTAGATGTATTATTTTCCTCTTCAGAATCCACTGGTGAGGAGTATGAACTTGTTTTATTTTGCAATCTTGACAATTCCTTCACATCACTCAAGGCAGAAAGATTCTTGAGTAGCCACAAGGCAGCATCATCATTGTTATCAATCCACTCAACACCACTAAAAAGTTCTTGAACCCTGGAAAAAGCTTCAATTGGTAATCCACCTTTCTCTTCACCATTCAAAATTGTGGTTGGAGCCCTTGGAGGGGAGATGCTTTCCATCTCTCCAAACAGAACCTAATTTAAAAGCAATTAATTGGATGAACAGCCAAAGAGAAAAAATAAATCATTAAATCAGAGTTCTTGGGACATTTATCTCTTATAGTAATAAATAGTAAAAGCAACAAACTTGGTATTGAGATTCTCCAAATGACTGTCGAAACTCACCTCAGCTCGAAAGCCTTTTGGATAACGCTCCTTTGAATCCCAAAGAATGTCCAAATTTTCAGAGGTTAGCATCAGTATGTTTGATCGAATAAACGCTGTATTGAACATAATACGAAACATCATAACTTCCCTTTCATGTTCTGACTCCAAATGTGAACACTCCAACACTACATCTCCTTGAACTAAACACTGAACGTCTATTTTAATCACATCACACTCTGCCTGCAATCAAAACATCCATCTTTTCATGGTTTACATATCTAAAGTATATGAGGTCACAAAATCAAAGTAGAAAATCAGTACCTGATGGTAGTGACGGAGGGCCTTGTTCTTCTTGGGCATAGAGAAAATCATCTGCGTGGAAAGCCCACCCTTACTAAAAAGATTCCTCCCAAAAATACGAACAACTGGTCGGCAGCCATTCTGAGAATCGAAACCCGGAATGCCACGAAGAATTACACAATCTAAAGAAAGTGCTCGCTCAGGTGGTGGCCACTCAGAGACTATATTTCTCCTTGCAACATATTGCAAGTAGCGGAGCTGCGATGGGAATGGATTTAATGGTGACAAGAGCTGCAAAAACCCTTTGGGGGCTTCTCGATGAACAATTTCAAGAGTTTTCCTCTCACCACTGTGCAGTTTTCTAAATATCAAAAAGCTAGCCAAAAGGAATGCTAACAGTGGCCAACCTCCCCTCTCACAGTGGAGAAGAATGACATTTTGTTGGTTACCTAGCAGAAGCCAACTTTCACAAACATGGAGGAAGTGCTGTATTAACGACAGCGGTAGAAGCGGGCAACCTTCATATTGTCGAGGATAATCCATCACAGTGACATCATACTCGCACAACATTTGTGAAAATTGGCTCCGTTTCTCCCCTTCACGAAAATTAAAAGCAAGAAAAGAGGACTCCGGGAATTCTTCATGTAATTCATTTATGATTTCGTGCAGATATATTTGGTACATATCATCAGGCAATACTTCAGTAGAAAAGCAGGAGTCAAAAACTGCACAAACTCATGAAATTGACAACCATATGAGGAACTATTAAGCCAAAATTCATAATAAAGTGGCAAATCAAGATTTTCACTCACTATATACTCGTTCAACAAATTCCAGCAACCCATCGGGGGGTCTTCTGTAAAAGAATCTACTGAGGAGAGACATTTCGATGAAATGAATTCACATACGAGCATACACCACAGAACTAAGAGCTGCAAGATAAGAAACAGAAACCGGAGTTTAATTTTTCCCAATCGCACAAGAAATCATCAATCGTTAGACAATTTTTTCAAGAACATCCATAGAAACAAACTAACGCCAAACAATCCTAGTCCAATTCTCCATCATCTTCCTTTAAACTTCAATCAAAGGCAATAATTTCCACTGAGAGACAAAAAATTGTACAAATCTTACAAAATGCGTACTCAGTGGAGCGAGAAGACATGCTCCTCGTTTCTCGATTTCGAAACAAGAAAAATAAATCATAGCAAAATGTTACTCCATTTTCAATATCTGAAGCGATAAAAAGTATGAAATGAAAGGAGAATCGGGAAGAAATGCAGCAAAGAATATTCGTAGGGGATCAAAATCAAGGAAGAGAAGCAGAAAATAGAAGAAATCAAAGAGAGGAAGAGGGAAACCTGGGCGCGAGGAGCGAGCGGTGGAAGAAGGAGGGAGAATTTGAAAGTAGAGAGAAAGAGAGAGGACCCCACGCCGCCGCAGCCACAACTCCGCCTCCCCTTTCTACTCTCACACTTCTATTTATCCACCCGATTTGGGCGCTGTCGGAAAATCTAATCATTTTACATTTTTTTTAATTTTTAAAAAAGTTTAATAATACTTTTTAATTTTTTTTTTTTTTTAAATACCTATAAACCATTAATATTTATTTTTAATTTTCAAGTTAATATTAAAATTAAAGGCTTTAAAAACATTTTTAAATGTTTGGTAAAAAAAAATTAAAAACGCACATTTTCAAATATAACGTAAAAATATTTATAGATCATTTATAAGGTGTATTTTCGTTTATATCTTAAAACCTTGAATTTACTCCGATCAAACTCCGGCGAGAAAATTCATCTTCTCCGACGCTATTTTTCCACGTGGAATTACAAGCAAACACGTGGTTTCGCCCTTCTAATTTCCAGTCGGCGGAGTCGCCGGCGAAGCTACTGCCCTTTCTCCAGGTTTTCTTCTTTTTTTTTTTTTAATTATTTATTATATACGAAATTACTAAAGTACCCCTTTCGCTTTGGGCTTCTAAGCAAACACGTGGTTTTGGGCCTCTAATTTTCAATCGGCGGAGTCGCCGGCGAACCTGTTACCTTTTTCCATATTTTTCTCTTTTTTTTTTTAATTATTTATTGTATACAAAGTTACTAAAATACCCCTATCGCTTTGGGCTTGTAAGCAAACACGTGGTTTTGGGCCTCTAAGTTCCAATTGGTGGAGTCGCTGGCGAAGCTGTTGCCCTTGTCCAGATTTTTCTTCTTTTTTTTAATTATTTATTATTTACAAAATTACTAAATTACCCCTTCCGCTTTTAATTTCCTTTCTTTTTTTTCTCTTTTTTCTTAAATTATTATTATTTTTTTTTTTTTTTTTTTTT